ATATATATATGTGTGTGTGTGTGTGTGTGTAAAGCATAAATATTTAAGCAGCAACAATTCTTCTAAACATGTTCAATTTTTTATTGTATTTTCCATATTGATATTTTTAATTTTATTTATTATTATTTTTGTTGTATTTTCACATATAAATCTTTAAAAAATATCAACAAAAATGGACTTCATCAGTTGGATTTAACAAAACAAACAAAGGGTAATACGATTTTGCAGTTCACAGAAAACATTTGCCAACTGATTTACAGTAATGCTTGAAACCACATTAGTTATTTTAGCTATACTTAAAACTAGGTACATTAAACTTTATAACATTTTTTACGGATTATTTCTATTGCAAATACAAATAAAGTTATAAAATTTTTAAAGTGCACAAGAAATTTATGGACACACTCTATATATATATATATATATATATATATATATATATATATATATATATATATAAAATTGTGTAGATAAGTTGATTAATAAAACAAGATCAAATGAAAGGATGTAATGATAAAATAAGCACAAAAAACATTTATTAATATTAAGCAGTTGATTTTCTAATATATACATATATATTTATATATATATAAAAACAGACCACTTTAAGGTTCCATGTAATAAATTATTTCACCACAGCCCTTTTAAAAGGACTGCGGATCATCAGACTTTACTTCCAAACAAAATTTAATTTATTTAAATTATTTGCTCTGGATTTACATTGAGCTCTCTGGATTTTATCCTCCTTAGGTTTACCATACAGATTACATAGTTTTTTCATAAACTATATATATATATGTGTGTGTGTGTGTGTGTGTGTGTGAAAAATATATAGAAAATAGGAAAGAACTCGTTAGGTAAATAATTCAAAGTTCTTTAGTATTTTTGTTATTATTTTTTAAAAAAATAGTGCTCGATACAAAAGTAGAGCATAAATATAATTATTTATTTAAAAATATGATTCCAACACGCTATATAAGAGTTCTCATGTTTCAAAACAAGAGTCGAAAACTTCAATATAATTATTAGAATTTTGATTTCAATAATGAATATGCTTATAAAACACGTAAATTTCAGAAATAAGTTATTCCAAAAAAAATTTCACTTGAAGATGGAACAGAGCTTAGTACTTTAATTCAATTTAATTTTAATAATTATATTGAAGTTTTTGGCTCTTGTTTTGAAACATGAGAACTCTTATGTAGCGTGTTGGAATCATATTTTTAAATAAATAATTATATATATATATATATATATATATATGGGTGCACTTTTTGACCATGAGACCCATGTTCAAATCTCACTATAGTTGACATGTCAGGAAGGAGACTTTCTGATGTTGTCAGGTCTGGAGAGGGGACAACTTCATTATGCAGGACCTTTAGAAAGTGCCTGAAAACGATGCCATGGGTTGACCCAAGCTGTGTGAGTGAAAATGGGTAGACAGAACACATGTGGCCATTGACAGCTGTGCTAGAATGAAGTCACAAATCATCGTGACCAAGAGTTTCAGTGTGTTGCCATTGTTTAGATTGTTGAACATCCTAGACAATACGCTCTCTCCCAGAAACTGTAACTAAGATCTGCACAGTATAGTTGCAGTATAAACCGCAGGTTGGCTCTGTGGGTGTTGAACAAACACAAATATGCCTGAGTGAGAGTCTGCAATAGGGATTGGCTAGCCGCCCTAGAAGACAGGTATCCTTGAATAAAGTGTCCAGCTATTATTTATATATATATATATATATATATATATATATATATATATATAATTATTTTTTATAAAAATAAAAATTATAACATAAGTATGTTATAAAATCACTACAAAAATAGCCATTTTGTTTCAACACACTCTCACTTGATAAGACAAAGAGTGTGTTGAAACAAAATGGCTACTTTTGTAGTGATTTTATAACATACTTATGTTATAATTTTTTTTTTATAAAAATAATTATATCTGCTCTACTTTGTATTGAGCACTCTTTTAAGAATAGTAATTGTTGGTTATTGGAATTCATTCCGCATATACCAATTATATATTATATATATATATATATATATATATATATATATATATATATATATATACTAAAATAATCCTAAGGAGCCAGGTAAACCTACCTATGTTTCAGGGTAAAACTGGCTAAAAAGGAAAATAATGGAACAGTATTGATAAAAACCAAATAAAACCATAACCACGTAACAAAAGGGGGGTATGTTACTTTATTGATAAGCCAATAACAAGATAAAAAGAAAACTATAACCAGACTTTATTATACCTACTAAGAATTTCTGATTTTTGGTTTAATAAATTTTTAGGTTCCTTATGGGTAGCGATAACTAGTTTTTCCTCCATACATAGGGAACAAAATTTATCACCTGCCTTATATTTATAACATCTTTTTTAATATTTCCCATTTCAAAATGGGATAATTGTTGTCATCTTGTTTAATCTTCTATACATATGTGGACAGGGTAGTACTATGTTTATAGTTTTCACAATTGAAACTACTGAGGTGGTTGTAATATCGTTTTTTGAAACTGCTCTTGGTGGATCCTATATAAACTTGAGGGTTCTTATCAGTACTATTAAATTTATTTCTATGTATTTTGACTTGGTAGACCATGCACTCTTGTTGGAACTAGCCCTCAAGAGGGCAGGTGTCCTTATTGCTACAGTCTTTGATTTTTTACCATTTACCATTTATATATATATATATATATATATATATATATATACAGGTAAAAATCTGTTGGTATATAATCCAAGGGAATACTATTAATATGAAAATATTAAATATTCAATATTGAAACTGATTCACATAGTGCACATTTATTTAAACAGAGCGTATAAATTACATACAATAGGAATTAAGAAGACATATTGCTTATGATCAAATCATCCTGTAAATTAAGATATATATATATATATATATATATATATATATATATATATATATATATATTACTATAATGAGTTAGTAAGATATAGAATATGAACAAAAGCAGAATAATAAGATAAAATATGAAAACTTCTTATCGACAACACATTATTGCTGGACGCAATGCATTGTCAATAAAAAGTTTTTCCCTTTTATCTTATTTTTCACTTTTGTTCATATTCTGTATCTTAACTAAAGTCATATATATATATATATATATATATAATATATAATTTTCTGGATTTAAATGATTTGATTTTTAGGTTATTTTTCAACGATATATATGTATATTTTCAACTATATATATATATTAAAATAAAATCATTTCAATTTGATTTTTAAGTTCTTTTTCAATTATAAATATATATATACAAGTATATAATTGGTATATGTGGAATGAATTCCAATAACCAACAATTACTATTCTTAAAAGAGTGCTCAATACAAAGTAGAGCAGATATAATTATTTTTTTTTTTTTTAAATTTATAACATAAATGTTATAAAATCACTTGTTATAATTTTTTTTTATAAAATATAATTAAATATAATTGAAAAAGAACTTAAAAAACAAATCATTTAAATCCAGAAAAAATGACTAAGTCATATATGACTTTTTAAAAAATTTTTCAATTATAATTGGAAAACGAACTTAAAAATCATTTAATTTCAAAAAAAATTATTTAAACACTTGAAAAAAAATATCCTTATTGATACGATAAATATAGTTATCTACACGTTTAAATTTGCGGAGGCTAAAAATATTTGTCATACATTTCGTCATTGTTTTGTTTTTCTTTTAGCAAATATACAAAATGTCTGTCTCGTTTCTTTCGTCTCTCTCTACACACGTGTGTCACATTTGCCTTTGACGGATCAACAAAAATATAGAAGTCAAAAAACAAAAAGAAATTATAAATAAAACCTGAGGAATTTCAAAGAAAGAATAACCATTTTATTAGATCAATTATGAGAATTTTAATTCATAAAACACAGGAAAACACCATTTCGTATAAACACCTCTTTTCTCCCTCCACACCGGAAAAAATACCCACATGGCCCCGAAACCGACCCCAATTTTTTTTATTTATTTTATAAAAAATAGGAATACACTTTTAAAATTCAAAATTAAATGAAATTAATAAATAAATAAAAATAAACTAAAATGTTTCTATCTAATTTTTGGTGCAATTTTTTAAAGAAATCGATTTCCTAAAGATCAGAGCAAATCGGATGTTCAAGCCTGACGTTAACTCTCGTTTCAGACATAAGGCTGTGATATTTTAAATCGGCTACTTTTTTCCACTTTTTTCTACTTAAAATCGATTTATTTACAAAAAGAACATTAATTCCTAAAAAAAAATTAAGAAGCTGAACGAAAACTGTAAAAACGTTCAATCATCTCGAGCTAGCGAGAATTTTTTACCACGTGATCACTACATCCGGGCAAGGCGCCGTAGTGAAAATGGCGGTTGCTGTTTCATTTGTGTTGTTTCTGTCTGAGTGATTCTGCGCGCGGAGGACGATGCGATTTGAGTCTATCACCTAACTCGTTCAAGCAACATAGCAGTCGGCAACAACAACCATGGCAGCCTTCGTCCGCGGCTTCAACGCCTTGCAGCAGGAACTGGAAAAGACGAAAGAAAGTCTCAAAGATGTCGATGAGAATATAAAAAAAAAAACTAACAGGGCGAGACCCAACGGAATTAGGTAGGTCCGGACAACAAAGAAGAATACTTTTGGGGTTTAATGAAAGAGGAGGAAATGGTGGAGGGGAACCGCTTGTTAGTCGGGGAAATAGAAAACGCGTGCCCATGCTCGGAAAGTGGTCAGTTAACGACACTGATCAAGGTTCGGCACGTAAAAAGAGAGGTAACATAGCAAGTCGCCTTGGGCCTCGACCCAGTCGATCTTCTCAAGATAGTGGCGATGGGGATGAACTGGTAAGAAAACCTTCGATCCCTTCGTCTGTGGTGGCCACTTCGAGGGACTCGCTCACCCGAAAGGACATGCTAGATGCCCAGGGTAAAGACGAACGAGGTATGGCTCGAAATAGGAGAATGTTTGGTCTCCTCCTGGGGACTTTGCAAAAATTTAAAGACGAAGCTAAACACAGAAAAGATAAGCATGACCAGCGTAAACAGGTCGAATTAAAATTAGAAGAAAAAGCTCAGCAGGAAAGAGACGAAATCCGTAAAGAACGTGAACTGTTGTTTCAAAACAGACGTGAAAAACAAGCTAGAATTCGTCTTCTGGAACAGAAAATGGAATTAGTTGCCACACACGAAAAGTGTGAGGCCGAAATACGCAAGCTGACCAATTTTATCTGCACGAAGACCAAACCTTGCATTTTTTATCTGCCCAAAGTACACACTCCGGCCACGGAGGGTCGATTGACCGAAACTAGTAAAGTTGTTGAAGACATGATCGGAGAACGTCGTCGAAGACTTACAGCTGAAATCAATGAACTTATGGGTCCTTCATCCCTTGCTTCTACCATTGAGGCCGGGGAGGACCAAGAGATGGATGAAGACGACGACGACGACGACGACGGGGAAAACAACCCCGCCGGTCGAAAAGAATCAGCACAAGGCACTGGGAGCAACAACAACAACAACAAGCGATATCATCGTGGAGGTTTCAGTGGTAAGGACTGGTCAAAAAACAACAAAGATAATCGGAAGCCATCAAAAAGGTCTTCCTCCTCAACTGGAGGTGGGGGTAGTGACCCCCATCACCATCACTCGGATAACAAATCCAGTAGTAAGCATGGACGAGGTTGGGATGAAAGACAACCCGAAGTGCACCGGGGTGTCAAATCCTCCAAGGATCAGTCATTTGTAAGTGGCGGAGCATCTTCAGCGATCTCATCCAAGGCTCTGTCTAATAAATGGCAGCTACTCATGGAAATGGACAGTGGTTTAGAGGAAGATGAAGAAAAGTCAGTTATACCTTCAACTATTTTCAAGCCAGTCCTTCCTTTATCGCCCACCTCTGTATCTGTCACATCTTTGTCGTTGCTACCCTGTCCACGTGATGAACACGAAGAGGAAGCGATGGAAGTCGACAAGAGGGAGGTTCGCCTGGAGGAGAACAGTATGAATGGAACGGAGGACAGGCGGTTGGTGGAGGCTACCTCCAGTAGTTCTGGTGGAGGAGGTAGTGGTGGTGGTCGAAGGGTTGTCTTGTCAGCAGATGTTGATGAGGAAGAAGAAGATGATGATGATGACAACAATCACGACGAGGTTCCAACAATGGCAGCAGCTGATAAGTGATTGTCGGGGATTAATTTAGTTCAACTTCAGTTTCTCCACTTGTCCCATGTTTTTTTTCTTCTCTTTTAATGAGTATTTTTAGAATTTTTTTTTTTTTTTCCTTTCTAATTTTCACCCCCTCTTTCTCTCCACCCCAGATAAGCCATATTACACATTATCATTTATGTATCATACTTAATACTGGTCATGTCACATTGGAAATTCTTCTAAATTTAATCAGTTAAGGGCCCCCCCACCTTTGTCGATTCCACTCAATGCTGCACTGGATAACCATTTAAATATTCCATTTAGTATAAACAAAACAAAAACAAAATACCTGTTCTTGGAGATCTTCAGAATTGGCAGTCATCAGCCTGGAAACTGAGTCTCATACACAACTCATTCTTGTTTGAATGAGTTGCCAACCGAAACAGCTTGTGTTCTTGCTTGTAAACAAAAAAGATTTTCATCTTTTTGTAACTGATGTCTGGTTAGGTTTAGAAAAATGAAACATATATACAAACACACTCTCAAATATTTCTTAAGACTTGTATGAAACTGACAATTTCATGTTTTTGATGAGTCCAGGGGGCATAAATGAATTATTTTTTTTTTTTAGTCATATCTAATTGAATATACAGTAAGAATTGTAAAAATAATTATTTTTCTCACTTGCAGTAAATATTTATTCAGGAAAGTAAGAGACCCCCTCACCCCCACCTTTTAAAAGGCACTTAACTAATTTTATCAAGATTTACTTAAGGCATAAAAAGAAAATATTTTTCATCACCAAAGATTCTGCACACACTTGAATTTAATTTTTTTCTCCACTCTGTGACATCCAACTTGCATTTCATAAGTTATGAAATGCATAACAAATGCAAATAAGCAAAAAGGGAGGAGTTGGGTGCTAGTAAGAAAAGCAGAGAATTAAAAAATTTTTTTTTTTTTTTTAACCACCAATTTAGGGTTTATTTTTCCTTCCCTCATGCCTGCCCTCTTCCCGTAAAAAAAAGGTGGGGGTTTCTTTTCCCGTAAAAAAAAGGTGGGGGTTTCTTTTCCTTTGGTGCAGATATTTTCTTAAGCCACATTGTGGACTGCCGAAAATATAGACATTGACTAAACTTCTTTTTTTTTATATATACACCAATTTAGGGTCTATTTTCCCTTCCCTCACACCTGCCCCCTCAAAAAAAAAAAATCTAGTTGGGATTCTTTTCCTTTGGTGTAGAGATTTTCTTTAGCTGCGTTGAGGACTGCCGAAAATATAAACATTGACTAAACTTTGGAGATTTTTTTTTTTTTTTTTTTTTTTTTTTTTTTGGTTTGCTAACCAAGAAAAAAATACAAATCAACACAAACTCTTTTCTTTTTTCTTTTTTTTTCTTTTTTTTTTTTTTTTTTTTTTTTGAAGGGCGGGTGTGCAAATATCTCCGGTGGAGGGCTGTGAAAATGTCTTCTGGCCATACCTTATGGGGAGTTAGACCACCTATTAAAAAATGCATTTTTTTTTTTTTTTTTAAATTCAAAACATATAAAACACGGGGCAAAGCAATGTCCAAAAAAAAAAAAAAAAAAACATAGATCCAACATTGTTGCATTTTTTAAAAATCTCTGACTTTTTTTTTTTATTGCAACTAAAACTTTTCAGTGTAAGTGACACTTCACTACTGTCAGCTGTTAATTTCTAGTTGTCATCTTTCTGCAGGTAAATTGGGTTGATGCCGAAACAATTCCAACGCTGTAAACAGGACAATTGAAATAAGGGGAGATTGCCCTCCCTCCCTCATATATTTGTAAACTAACAGTCTCTTTTCTTCTCTGTCTATTTAGACAAAAAAAAAAAATTGAGAATCCAACACCTTACTACAATAACAACAGTGAAAAGAAGAAAAAAAAAATTATTTACAATTGAAGAAAATTTTAAGAGTTTTTTTTTTTTTTTTTTCCCTTCTTTTTACCAGTTTTTGTGTTTCTTATTTATGTGAGTTTGTTGTTTATATTTTGGTGTTATTTTTATAAACATTTTTTTCGTCAATTTCATTCAAAATTTGATAAGCATGTTTTACAAATTGGATATTGCACGCTCTGTTTATTCATAAAGCAAAATATATGCACGTATTTGTTTTGTCTCCGGCTGTATACACTGTGCAGCAAAAATACCCCCACATTTTAAAGGTTGACAAAAAGACCACATTAACTCCTATTAAAAGAAAATTATTTCACTGTTTAAGACAAAGGACTACAATTGTTTTTTTTTAATCTGGTTTTAAAACTGATATCCTCCAAATGGTGGCCACTATTCACCAGACACTGTTGTAGATGATTTCTAAAGTTTTCCATCGCCTGGAACTTTGAGGTCTTCCGGGTGGCTTTTTTTTAAGCACTGAACCTGTGGCCCTGAAATTTTCACCCCATAGCAGTAAAGATTTTCTATGCAGAACATCATCGTTCCGATGTAACATGTAATGAGCACGAAAAGATCTGTGTTGCAATTACAGATTCACCCGTTTTAAGAAACATTTCAAAAACAAATGCATGGTGTGCACCAGTCCAAGCCATAATATTTGCTGGTATTTGGGGTGGGAATGGTAAGACATTAGCTAGATGAAGACACCATTGCCCTTTGCCTAAGTTCATTAACACTGCACAGGTGACAATTTAAAATGTGGGAGGTATTTTTGCCACACCCTCTATATGGTCGGAGATATCAACAACCTATTCAGTCTTGTTCTCTTCTTTTTTTTTTTTTTCTTTTTCTCTCTATCTCTACTGCATTCCACAAACTCAGAGACAGATTGGTAATGGTAATGACCCCCCTCCCCTTCCCAAATCTCTCTCTCTTTTTTTTTTTTTTTTTTTTTTGTTTTTTTTTTTTTTTTTTTATCGTATAGGGTTCTGGGTTTAGTGTGGGAGAATTGGCTGATTCATCATTGGACTCTTGTCTTTTCATTGCTTCATTCTTGGGATAGATATAAGTCCCTGGTCCTTTAGTTTCCCCCCCCCTCCACCCCCAAAGTTATCTACATTTTATGAAATCACATACTGTTTGGGGTCATTAACCCTTCCATTGCTGCTGTAAACATACTTATACGTCTTTTTGAAACTTTCATTGCCTTCTGTGGATGTGCCTATGTATATATACATATTTAAATCATAGAGTGGAGGCAATTTATAAGGGAGGGATGCAACGTCTTTGAGGATAAATGTCTCAGGCATGCTCAGATCAAGTGTGATCTCCGAAGAGGTACTCGCTCTGATTTGCTAACGAATATGCAGTCTTGGTAATATGGTGTATGTGTGTTAGTGCATGCTATTGTCAGTCAAGGGCAGTTTATGTAAACCATATGCAAGGTCACGATAACAACGTGAAACAAATCAACTATGACGTCCTCCTGACGATACAAGTGTTGTTTGCAATAAGGTTTGCAGGTCCTCATCTGGACTGAGGCAGCACATGGTAGTACACAGGAGAGTTTGAGCACATGCAGATCTAATCAAGGGTAGAGTGCTTATCTGTCACATATGCCTGATACCAATGTCATCTTGAAGGGGGGGGCTCTCATCCGAGTAAGATATGGCATCGACATATATTTGAAAAACTCCAGTACGCGGATTTATATTTTGATAAGATTTGGTAGCAGCACTCTGAAGGATTTCCCTTGTAAGTTACTTTCTCTTTTAATAAGTGTGTATCATACTCTAGATTGGAGTTGTGGTTGAATTTATTTCTATGTCTGACTAATTCATTTGATAAATTTTTTGCAAATAAGATACTTCTTGGGGGTTAACAAACTAGATAAAAACAGGCATATAAGACTAACTCCTTAATATCTACTATCCAAAACAATCTATACAATCTTAACAATATCGACTGCTCCTCAGGTAAAATGATTCTGATGTTGGTATATAAATAAACTCTCTCGACTGCTCCTCAGGTAAAATGATTCTGATGTTGGTATATAAATAAACTCTCTCGACTGCTCCTCAGGTAAAATGATTCTGATGTTGGTATATAAATAAACTCTCTCGACTGCTCCTCAGGTAAAATGATTCTGATGTTGGTATATAAATAAACTCTCTCAGGTAAAATGATTCTGATGTTGGTATATAAATAAACTCTCTCGACTGCTCCTCAGGTAAAATGATTCTGATGTTGGTATATAAATAAACTCTCTCGACTGCTCCTCAGGTAAAACTTGCAGAAATTTAAAAAAAACATATCTATAAAGCGAATCTTGTTAAAATATATATATAAAAAAAAAATGCTACACAATTTCAGTCGTGTTTCGATGCGCGTACAACGCATCTCATCAGGTGATTGTAAATTACAGGCAAGTGAACGATTTCACGAACGTCAGAATTGTACTCTGTCCATTCTCATCTTGCCTGGAGATATATAGATAGAATTAATACAAAGATAAAAATTTATCACTTAGCTGATATGACCTTCAAGACCCGGCACTGGAGTTTTGTAGACAGACTTTCCAGAAATCAGTCCATCTACAAAAAAAGTAATGGATTTTTTTTTTTTTTTTTTTATGTATTTATTTATTTATCTGAAAGATTTTTGTTATTTTTAATGGAAAACCATATTTAAATAGATGCTCTGTTTATTTATTAAATGGTATATTTATTTTGATGCACTTTAAAAAGTTTTCTTGAATATTCAGGCCTGTAGACAAAAATAAATATAGCTTTTAATAAATAAACAGTGAGTTTATTCAAATGTGGGTAACCACTAAAAATAACATTTAAGCGATAAAATATATGTATAACAAAATTTCAGTTGCTAGCATTTGTTCTATAAGAAACCATTAACTGCAATTTATAATCCAGCATAGATATATAGTAGTAGACAATACAACGTATGAAATTAAGTTAAGCAATGTCAAGTCTGGTCAGTACCTAGATAGGTAACGGGTTGGAATGAGAAATCGAAGATCCTAGTTCGAATTTCAGTCAGGTTCATTATATTCACTTACATGTACATACCTTTGAGAAAGATATGGATCCACTTC